GGTACCGAAGTTACCTACTATTGCTGTCTTGGGGATAATCTGTGTTTTAGACTCCCATATTACTCTTTTTATGAAATTGGGCACATCATATATGTTCATGAATGTAATATCTTCTTGGTCAATTTTTCCTTTGATTAGAATGAAGTGACCCTCTTTATCTCTTCTGATTGGTTTTAGTTTGAAGTCTATTTTATCAGATATTAGAATTGCAACTCCTGCTTGTTTCTTAGTGCCATTTGCTTGGTATATTTTGTTCCATCCTTTCACTTTGAGATATTGTCTGTCCTTGAAAGTGAGATTAGTTTCTTGCAGACAACAAAAAGATGGGTTTTGTTTCTTAATCCATTCACCTAATCTGTGTCTTTTGAGTGGGGAGTTCAGTCTGTTAATATTTAAAGTTATTAATGAAAGATGAGTATTGAATCCTTTTATTTTTATTTGTGTTTACATTCTTGATATAGCTGTACCTTTCCACAGTTATACCTTCATTGGATTTCTTTCCGCAACCCCTTGGGTATAGTCATAGTTGGGGCTAATCTGTGTCTTCAAGTCCTGTAGTGTTGTTTTTATGAATTTGGGTGTACCAGAGTTTGGTGCATATATGTTCATGAATGTAATATCTTCTTGGTCAATTTTTCCTTTGATTAGAATGAAGTGACCCTCTTTACCTCTTTTGATTAGTTTTAACTTGGAGTCTATTTTATCAGATATTAGAATTGCAACGCCTGCTTGCTTCTTAGTGTCATTTGTTTGGAATATTTTCCTCATCCTTCCATGCTAAGGTACTGTTTATCCTTGAAGGTGAGATGAGTTTCTCGAAGACAATGAACAGACGGATTTTCTTTCTTAATCCGTTCCACTAGCCTGTGTCTTTTGACTAGGAAGTTGAGGCCATTGATATTTAGAGTTATTGTTGTAAGATATGTATTGGTTACTGTCATTTAGGTGGGTTTATGTTATTGGTCCTATTTGTGTTTCTGTAGTTATATCATCCATTGCTTTCTTTATGTAACTTCTTGGATGTTGGTATCTTCAGTGCTTTATATTGCTTCAGATATTCTCTATGGGGGCGTTTTTTGTGCACATGAGTTCTTTTATCCTATTCACATCTTGGAAACTTTTCCATTCTCCTTGAACTATGATAGATGTTTTTGCTGGGTAAAGTACTCTAATTTGGCATCCATGGTCATTTAGAACTGGGAATACTTTGGTTCAGACTCTTATGACTTTCCTAGTTTGAACTGAAATTCAGATGTAATTCTGATTGGTTTTTAATTTATGTAATTTGTTTTTCTCTGGCAGCTTTCGGTGTACCCTCTCTTTGTTCTGTATATTTAATGTTTTTACTATGATATTCTATAGGGAGTTTCTGTTCTGAACTTTTATAACTGCTGTTCTGTGTTTCTTGTATCTATAAAGGTATGTGTTTCCTTAATTTGTCCAAGTTTCCTTCTATAATCGTGTTGAAGATCTGGTTAATGCCATTGACTTGACATTGTTCTCATTCCTGTATGCCTATGGTATGTAGATTTGGACTTTTCATGGTCTCCCACATTTACTGAGTGTTGAAATCCTGTGTTGTAAATCTTTCATAGTCTTTGCTGGAGGAGACTAGTTCTTCAACTTCATTGTGTAGTCTTGATATTCTGTTTTCCATTTCATCCATTCTGCTTGTGAGACTTTCTACTGTCATTTCAAATTGACTTATTGAATTTTTCAGTTCTATCCCCATTTTGGCTTGGTTTTCTACAATATTTCTGTCTCTTGTGAATTCATTTTTATAATCCTGAGTTGTTTCTGTTATTTCACTCAGCTTTATATTTGTGTTTCCTGAACTTTCTTCTCAAGTTTATGCCTATGCTCTTTGAGGTCCTTCAGTGTGTGTCTACGTGTTCTTTGAGTTCTTTGATCATGTTTGTGATTGTTCTTTTAAATTTTGCATTGTGGAGTTCCTTGGTATGATTCTCATTGTAGTATACTTATGTAAAAGACTTATGGGTTTTCTTGGGACATATTTTCTTGGGTTTTCATGTTACTTGTGTTTTTGCTTTGCTCTTTGGGCACATGGATGTCTTTTGTTGGTTCTAACAGAAAATTCCTTTTTGCCTTGGTTTAGTTGAAGTTTGGTTATGTTTATATTGTTGATGCATCTTGGCTGCTTTTTGCTTATGCATGAAAAGCTAGTTGGTGTGTGTTTCAGCTTCTTGCAGGGTAGGTGGCAAGTTGGGGTGGAAGGTATGTCTGTTGAAGCAGATCTAGAGGGGGTTGTCAAGGGTAACATGGAATGGAGACAGCCTAGGGAGGGTCTAACAAACAAAGCTACAGAATCAAGCAAGTCTGGATACAGTGGATCAGGAAAGATTGTGCAGGTATGGAATAAACTAAGAAGATAGTCCAGAGATCTGGGGCAGAAAGTGCAGGATCAGGCCTTGGTCCAAGGCTATAAGGTGGCCAGAGTGTGGGGAGAGTGGAGCTGCTCAAGGTTCAGGGAAATCAAGGTTCAGTGAATGGAATCTGACCTACCAGGGTAATAGGAAGGTGTGTTGCAGGCAGATCAGGAGGTCAAGGGCAAGGTAGAGTGTAGGGACTCAGGTTTGCTTTGCTTAGCGGGGCACCTGCTGGCTTCGGGGCAGAGGGTCTGATCGGTGACAGAGTCAAACTCTGGGACCTGTGTCTTCCCAACAGGATGATTTATTTTAGAATTTAGATGGTTTTTATACATCCCAAGGAACTAGCAGTCACACGGGATATGACAGTCACATACAAAGATTTAGGACACAAAGAAACAGGACATTTAGTCTGCTAGTTGGCGCCAGGAGGATTCTTAAACTTTTACTCAAGGTTATCAATGCCCATCCAGTAATTTATTGGCCACAATGTTTTCTTTCTTAGAGCTAAAAGCATGGTGAACTTTTAGCTTTTAGCTCAGGAGTAAACCTTTAACCTGGCCTAATCTCTTAGCCAAGGATAGCTGAGTTATTTGTTCAGGACAGGGAGATGAGCTAAGGGTTGTTAACCAAGACACATTGCCTAACAGTGTTCTGCAAGGCAGGGATTATCAGAGCCACTGTTTTCAGTGCCCCTCCCTTTTAGCAGAGAATGCAGCCTGGACCTATAAGTTTTGGGCTCACCTCACCCTAGGGCCTGGCATCCTGGTTTCCTACAGTAGAGGTGAGGACAACCTGTGGAGCACCTAACAAATTGTCCTGGAGAAATGAGCTAGTCTGGGAGCAGGGATTCAGGACCCAGTGTGCAGGTATGGACTAAGAGGGTAGTCCAGAGATCTGAGGCAGAAAAGCAGGAGTGGGCCTGGGTCCAAGGCTAGAAAGGGAGATAGAGTGCGAGGACAGAGTGGAACTTCTCAGACTTCAGGAGAGTCAAGGGAGTCACATACCTGGTATTAGTTAGGAAGAACTGTTGTAGTCAATTCCAAATCTCTGTCCACTTTCACTCATCCAGCATCCACCAGTCATCAGTATGTCCATTTCATGTATTGAATCAGTGATTAGTCTCATGAAGAGTCACTAAAAGTAAGTTTATGCCCTTTGGTCTTTTATTAACCTGCATCAGGTTTATTGTTTCCAAGACCCTTCCTTGTTCTTCATGTCTTTGCTTAAGCTACATACAGAGGCAGTGTGTGATCACGCATGGTTGCACCAGAGGATTTAAAATCTATTAGTGCAAGAAAGAAATGCTGTTAATAACCCAGGACAAGTAGGGAATGAGTAAAATGTGTCACTAATTAGATGTGCCCAATTTTGTCTCATCTGAATTTGACTGACATAAAATTGATGAAGAAATATAATCAATATTTACAACTATTTTGACACGCCAAGTACCGCAGTGACACTCTGAGATACACAACCCGAGGTGGGCACAGGTTTTCAGGCTTAAGTCGGGACTTCAGTTGCATAGGAAGGGTGGTGTCAGTAGGATAAGCACCACTGACAGCAAATAATTTATGATTTAAAAAAGTTAATAAAGACTATTCCAAATATTTTTTCTTTCTTTTTTAAAAAATATTTTATTCATTATTTTTATTTTATGTGTATGCCTGTATTGCCTGCATGTAGGTAAGTGCACCTGTGTCATGCAATGCCCACGGAAGACATAAGAGGCTGCCAGATCCCTGGAGCTGGAGTTACAGACAGTTGTTAGCTGCCATGTGGGTGCTGGGATTCGAACCTGGGTCTTCTGCATGAATAACCAGTGTTCTTAACTGCTGAGCCATCTCTCCAGCCCCATATTACAAATGTTTTAACACTGAATAAAGGCATCTGTCTGAGTTGACAAATATGACAGTGCACCAGTCAAATGATTTCACATTTCATGTGTACTGAAATGAGATAAATATAAATAAGCACTATGGCTATCAGGAACACAGTCTCTAAAACTAACATTGGTAATATGAGGAATGTCTTTCTCTGCATGACACAAATTGCATAGGAGGAAATTCCATTTACAGTAGCGCATACTAAGCACTCTGAACTATATGCTGATCAGTTTTTACTGCCCTCCTTCACAAGGTGTGAAGTTCATGTTGAGAAACTGCACACAGACACCCAATCATCCAAACAAATCAACTGCATCTTCAAAATACTGAGTTACCGAGTTTCATCACCCTTCTGCAGCATGCTAGATATTTCTCATGTTCCGCATACGGCCCCTCATAACGTGCTCTGGCAGGATGTTTTTCTGTACTGTGAATTATTTTAAATCATGGCACATTTCTGTTTCTTGGTACTTGCTCCTGAGCTTCCAGTTCCTAGGAGCTCAGGTTCACAATTTCCACACAGTTTATCTGGATGAGTTCAAAACTGGTCAGGACAATAATCTTTGATCATGCAATAGGTTTTTCTGCTCCACTGCCTGGTAATTCCACATCACAAATGCAGGTTAATGATTGCTTTCTCTTTTGTATAACACTCCAGTATTTCATGCCAACCTCCACAGGTGAGTATAGCTGGAGCTCTATCAATGCACTCAAAGAGCAGTTGACCATGTCAGACTTTTTATGGTTCGAAGGGACACCTATTTTACCTGTATTTTCTACACCTGAATGTCTACGAGAAATACATGATGAATTTCTAATGAAGGATGACGATGCTGTCATATTGACATACCCCAGATCAGGTAAGAACTGTCTATGGCATGATCTGAATAGTCTACATGGAAGGCTGTGACTTTGATCCTAATTCACTCAGCTGATATATGGGTTTCTCTATATACTAGACAGTTCACAGTGCTTGGGGAGACATCAAGAGCAGGGCCCTAATAAGTTTTCTTTCAGGAAAAGGGATTTACCTAACCTCTGTTCAGGAAGAGCTATTATATTGAGGCAGCTGAAGAAGCAATAGCAGTGGATGAAAGGATATTTAGACATTGCTATGATTATATAGGAAAATGTGGATGACAACATATGAGCAGAGAGAATATAGCACTAGAAACAATGGACAATTTGAAATAAAAAATAATGTAAGAGCTAGCTTGCTGCTAGTTAATGCATTCTACACATGATGATGAAGTTACACTAATGAATTCTCCACAGTGTGCCTGTCTAACAAGACCTGCCAAATGAAAAAATGAGTTGAAATGTCAAGGTGGAAGGAAGAAATATCGTGGGCACACATGCCAAGATGAAGAGCTAAAACCAATCAATGGATGGTAAAGAAAGGAGAAACATTTTTCTCCAGGAAATATCTTCCTGAGATGTTTTCTGAGCCCGAGTGGACAGCTCTAAATACAGGCACACAAGAGCACTACTAAATGGGCTCAGTGCATCACACATGCACACACACACACACACACACACACACACATGCAGAAACACACACATATATCTACAAATGTACATGTGTGCATGTGACAATAACAAAGATGAGGTCTCAAAACATTGAGAGAGAGAATAGGAATATGGGATGAGTTGTTGTGTGAGTGTGTGTGGGGGAAATAATGCAAAGAAATTCTCAAAAATAAAACAAAATTTTAAAAAAGAATGAATGTGAAAATTCTTGGAAGAGATAGACAATGTCACACAGAAAAGTTATCTAAGAAAATTTCCAGAAACTATAAAAATGTCTGAAAAACTCAGAAACTGAAAAATTACACCTCACAGTTTCTTGAGTATCATAGAAGAACTGAAAATTGGATGTTTACATCCAATGGCCATGAACGTGAATTGATAATAAAAACCTTAGGGGAATAGGAATGCATCCAAAGACTTCAGAAAACTGCCCACAGATCAAAGCTTCAGGAACATACGTATAAAGATGAATGCACAAATAGGAAAAAAACAGATCTTTGTGTAATGAAAATATGCAAGGTGATAAATGTGTAGAAATATACAGGGTGATAAATACATAGAAAGATATTTATCTTAAAGAAAGTATATCCTGAAATACACAAAATGAATGACTATTGAGGATATTATGCTAAATGAAATGATTTTCTCACAAGTGGTTTTAAAGGAGTACTCCATTTTCCTTATGCTTCAGGAACTACCTGGCTGATACAGATTGTCTGCTTGATCCAGAACAAGGGGGATCCCAAGTTTATCCAATCTGTGCTCCCCTGGGAACTTTCACCATGGATAGAAATTGACAGTTTATATTCTTTAATAAAGAATAAGAAGGGTCTATGTCTCTTCACCTCCCACCTTCCCTTCCAACACTTTCCCAAGTCTTTCTTCAGTTCCAAGGCCAAGGTCAGTGCCAGCTGTCAGTATATGTTTCGGCAAATGTACTTTGAACTACATTACCAAGATATGACCCTGAGGTCTTCCTGAAATGCACTTTCATGCTACAGTAGGATCTGAGAGGAGCATGCACTCCCTGATGCTGATGTGTCATGTTCAGGTATCAATGACTAAATGCTGGATTGTTTTAGAATCATGGCTGGTTTTGTAGCCACTATGTCTTGGTATGTCTAGCTGTCAACCAAAGATCAGCAGCCACTCATCTCCTCCATGTGACTCAGGGAGGATCACCAGATTGGATCACATACCTGCAGGGTCTAACCTAACACAGACAATTTTCAAGACATACTTTCCAGAAAAGTGGTTTTGGGTTCATGGGTTATGAAAATATATTTCAATTACAGTGAGAAACTGAGTAAAACAATCACCTCTGTAGGAAATACCTTCATTGGGGAATATAATATTGTTTCATCCCATCTACCTAACTACATGTTTTTTTGGATGTGATCACTTCTTAAAAAGAAACATTGAGCCTAAGAAAGGATGAGACTTACAATAATATCACAGAGAGATGGTGCAAGACATAAAACTGTGATGTCATTAAGCCAAGGATCTTTCTTAACTCTGTGAGGGTGTACTGAACTTAGAAATTAGCTTGAAGAATACAAACGTACACCCGAGTGTAACATTTCCAGTTGTCCTGGAAGTAAGTGCTTCATGTCACTGACTAAGAAAATCACCTACTGAAACAAACACTGTGTTTCATAAAATTACACTTGAGTTTTCCTCATCCTTGAATTTCATCCATAGAGACTCAGGCTGTGAGACTTAGAAGCTTAGCTTCATTCACTGAGTGAAATATCTGCGAGATTCATTGTGTCAGGAGAGATGGTTCAGGGGTTAAGAGCACTGGCTGTTCTTACACAAGACCCAGGTTCGAATCCCTGCACCCATAAGGTGGCTAACAATCATCTATAATTCTAGTTCCAGTGGATCAGATGCCCTCTTCTGTCCTCCAGGGACACTACACATCACAGGTACACTTACACGCATGCCAGCATAACGCTCATACACATAAAAGTAATAAATCGAAAAAATTTTAAATGAAACATCTGCAAGATTCATGTACACACACAGGGTGTGCCTGATCAAGCTTGCTGTATATTGTGAGATACATATACATTTCATTCATAATAGGTATTAATGCTGTTTTCTAGTCTATCTCATTTTAAAAAAGAATACTTTATTTTTTGTTTTATGTGTATGAGTGTATTTCCTGCATGTATTTAAGTGCACCTGTGTTGTGCAGTGCCCACACAGGTCAGAAGAAGGCTTTGGATTCTCCTGGAACTGTAGGTATAGACAGTTATTAGCTGCCATGTCGGAGCTGGATATTGAACCTAGGACCTCTGCAAGAACAGCCAGTGCTCTTAACCACTGAGTCATCCTTCCAGCCCCTCTCCCCTTCTTTTTTTAATGAAAATAGCTGTATACTTGCGTGATTGTCAATTAATTTTGCTGAATTTTGTCTTTGCTTGAGATGTAAAAGGAAATGGCTGAGGTAGGGTTTTGACTGTAAATAGTGTAGACTGTGGCTGGTGTCTTTTGGCCTCCTTATTTCCTCTTATTCCTGACTAAAAGATAGCACTTCAAACAATCTTATAAATAAGAGGAGTGGAAATCATGGGGGTCTGGAATAAGATGAGGTTGCTGTGGGTATCATGGAGATTCTGCAGCAGCCTAGACCTATTTATTTCTACCACTTATTACAGGCAGAATGACATTTCTGCTTAGTGGTCAAATTATGAAGGTGTTCTAAATGCAATAAAGTGCATATACTCATTGATTCACTATCTTTGAGGCTGATGAAAATTGAATTTTAGTTTTAATTTTTACATTTATTATTTTTTGAAATATACACCCTTCTATTTTTATTATGTCAGTTATGTTAATATATTTATAGAATGTTTGCACAATTCACTCACTGTGCAGTAATCATATTTACACCCTCTCCCATATGTGTATCACCAATAGCAACCCATGTGGATTTCATGCATTCGGTTTAATATGTTAAAAGCCTATCAAGCCCAGTTTGTGACACCAGACATCCCTCAGTTTGAGTCAGTTATTTGAGCCTAGTCCGTCAATCTAGCATCATTCTCTAATTATTTACTGAATATTTGCAAATTTCATACAATATAATTGGGTGGTATTTAGATCCCCTCCCAATCCACATCTGCCCTACTGGTTCCCACCCAAAGAATAACGTATAGAGTCTGATTTGTGTCCCCAAATGTCCTTTAGTGTGGGCCTGTCCACTGGAACCTGGTTAACCTACCAAGAGTCCCTTCCATGGAAGAGACTGTCTCCCCCCACACCCCAGCAGTCATCACTTGCCAAAAGTTACTTAGGTTAAATTGGTAGTTCTTGACCACTTTCCCATGAGTATGTTGGGATTTGGGTAGGTTGATCTTCCATGGGACTCGTGCATACTATCACCATTGCTGTGAGTTCATATGTATAACTGACCAGCTGTTTGAAAAACTGTTTCCTCATGGTTATCCACCACTCCGGTTCTTACAGTCTTTCTGGCCCCTCTTCCATAGTGGTCACTGAGCCTTGAGAAGTAGAAGTTTGAAATTGGTGTCCTATACAGGGATAAGCACTCTACATCCTCTTGTTCACTGAACATTGGCCAGTTGTACATTTCTGTTCATCACCATCTGCTATATAAGGAAACTTCTCTTTTGAGAACTAAGAGAAGCAGTCATCATATGTTCAGAGGTTGTATTGAAAACATGTCTCTTAAGGCTAAATATATCACAGAAACCTATTTTCTGCATTAAACCAATTATAGAACTCTGTGTTCCGTATACTGTAGTCTCCAACTGTTGCAGAAAGAATATTCATTGATGGGTGGTAAGAGGATCATGCATGAGTTACCTCCCATCGACTGTGTCTTAATATCAATTAGACAGTGGTTGATTATACCCCAAGATAAGAGTGACATTACTATAACAATAGAGATAGTTTTCTGGGCTATTCATTCCCTCAATGTTATTATATAACAATTAATCACTTTGAACTGATTCTCCTGTTCCACCTCCCACGTGCTGAGATTACAGGCATGAACCACCACACTGGCTCTGCAATTTTCCCTTCAAAATGTTTTTGGGAGCTTCACCTGCATTGAGAAGACTAATGTGCATAACATTGAGACAATGCTATATGGAACCTTAACCACCCATGACTCAGGGACCATTGCAGAAGAGGGGACAGAAAGACTGTAAGAGCCAGGGCTGGTTCATGAACACAGGGAAGCAGAGGCTTTCAGGCCACTGGAAGTTTGCACATGTGAATTTATGACAATGGTGGCATCAGGCACAAGACCTGTGCCAACTCAATTAAACAAGGGCCCAAAGGGGAGTAGAAAAATAGGTTTGGGGCTGACACTAGGCTGAGAACTATTGGAGACTGATTGCTCCTGGCTGAGGGAAGAGTATGCCTTACATATGACCACTAGATGGGCTGACTAGACTCCAGTGGATGAATTTACACTGAAGGACATTTGAGTAGAAATGCTTGACTGGATAGGATTTAATATATAAGATGGAATACATGAGGAATGGAGGAGACATGGATGGGGGGTGGGGGTCTAAATTTGATTAAGAACTATTGCTTGAAATATAATACCTCAATAAAAATATATGATAAATAGAAAGATAGATAGATAGATGATAGATAGATAGATAGATAGATAGATAGATAGATAGATAGATAGATAGATGATGGATGGATGAGATAGATAGATAGATGATAGATGATAGGTAGATCAATGATAGATGATAGATGGAGAGATAGATAGATGATAGATAGATAGATGATAGAGATAGATAGATAAAAGAAAATGCCACACAGACATGGCCAAAAGTCAATCCAATGGAGGAAATTCCTCAATTGAGGATCCCTCCACCCAGGCGTATCAAGTTGGCTACTGAATCTATCCAACACATGGGATGACACACAAAAATATTAATAATGGTTATAGCTAGAGAAGGGAATTATTTCAGAGAAGTTAGAAATTAGATGATGGCAGACTTAAGCTTTTTAAAAATTTTATTCCATTATATATGGAATTTTTATTGTAGCAATATATTTAGTTGTGTATTTAAAAACTAAACTTGTTTTTTGCTTGCTGATAAATTTATTAGTTATATTGCAAAGTGATTGGGAAATCAAATAAGTAAATCAGAGGAAAACTTTATCAAAATCCATATAGTATATAAAATAGTAATATTTGTCACTAAATCATGTTAATGTTTCAATGTTAGATAAGAATAAATTTTCAATTTTTCAAAATAAAAAAGATTGAGACAACACACCCAGCCATTACATCCTAACTTGGCAACTGGTTCAAAGAAAATTTAAAATGAGTATTTGATCCGCGCATACTGTCAACAGAGCATTAAGCCTTTGGATTTAATTGGCACTTGATAGCCAGTGTTTGAGCACAGATCAGTGAAAAAGTGAGGAACTGCATCGACACTCTTTTGCTTTTTTTTTGACTGAAGGTGATTTATCTCATCAGAAATCCCAGAGATGTTCTTGTGTCTGGTTATTTTTTCAAGAATCAGACAAAATTTGTGAAGGTGTCGAAGTCACTGGAAGAATACATGGGATGGTTCCTCGATGGAAATGGTGAGTGTTCTGTATACATCAAACCTTCTATGGGTGTGAGATATCACCTCTGGAGCACAGGTCTTTTAAATGGGGCTACTTTCTTTGACAGTCACAGAACTACAGCCCAGCCTCAAAGTGCACCCTGATGCTCTGTCCTGATGATATTCTTAGTCTCTACAGTTCCCATTGATTACACATTTAATCACAGTTTTCTTCTTTTCCTATTCACATGTGGTTTTATGAGCATCTCCCCTTCACTGGCTGTCTAAACAAAACCCCAGCCTTCTACTATTTCACTTAACATGTCTATTACCACAATACCAGAATCTTCTAATCATTATAAAATTTTTGCACAACTAAGTATTAACTGTCCTTTAATGATACATAATTTCTGGGTCTTCTCTCTTGTCCTTAATCTTGCAATAATAGCAAAATCTATGATATGTCCCATATGTCAGTAATGATGGGTGTTCAAAGTTCCAGCAACCTAAGGCATATCTCTGGAGAAGCCTCACATCTTTCGACAATAATAGGTCTGATTCTGAGTACAACCTTCTGGCACTGCTGTATGTTTATCTTAATAAACAGAATCTCCCTCTCACTGAAAATTTAGTATGATTCTGAAATACCAAAAGAATAACTTTTATTAAAATTTAGGAGCTCAATTTCCTCCATTCCCTTTATTTAAATAAGTAATCTAGTCATACAAACTAGATATATACCTGCATTTTGTTTTCTGACATATTGATGGATTTTTATTTTCAGTTCTGCATAAAATACTATCCTATGCATCTATATCAGTTAACCATTTGGTTTCCTCAATACAGCACAAGTAGGCTGGTATTTACATATCTATTTACTGAGCAAGAATCTACAGTAACTATAGGTCTCACGGTTCTTCTTTGTTGAATGTCAAATGTTAGGTCTCACTACTTGGTACCTATCTGATACACTAGCAAAAATAGAAATGTCCAGTGTGGATATGTTGGTGCGCATCAGCAATAACAGTACTAGGTACATGGAACTAGGAGGATCAAAAATTAAAGGCCAGACTTGGATACATAGCAAGACTGAGGCTAACCTGGGACACACCAAGCCATAGCTCCCTTACAGATAGGTCTGTGCTGAATGTCTAATCCTCACATGACCAAGCTCTGTCAGGAATCCTGTGTCAATGTAGTGTCCTTTCATTGCAATGGGTAGGAGGATGGTGATTCACAGGACACATGATAAATCTGCAATGGTGTTATATTAATAACACTTGGTCTTTCTGATTGCCACCTATTACATCGACATAATAATGGGATTTATTAAGAAATTTTCTTGCAATTTATGATGTACTTTGATCCTATCTATGCCCCATTTTCTGGTCTTATTTCCTTCCACCTCCCACAAATCCATTTCCACTTCCCAAAAAGTTCTCTCTTCTACTTGCATTTCTTTATTCTTTTTGGACATAATGAGTTTAGTTGTTTACATGAGCCAAGCTAAATGGTCATTTACAGGAGCATGGGCAACTGACAGGTGGCTAGATCACTGAAGAAATTGTCTCTCCCTTGCTCAAAAACCCTTAATTGCCATTGATTCAGGAGGAAATGCTGTGAGGCCTCAAGAGAACCTTACCCACACCAAATATTAACAGAGTAAAGTCTCAGGGAAGATTGGACCCAGATGAGACTGTCATGATTCATGATCCTAAATATTGATGGCCTCCACGTTATACACAAAATCACAACTTTGAAATCATGAGTGCAGTGGACACATTACACAGAACAGATTGTTCTACACTGTTACTCCCCTTTGTCTGGATATTCTTTATGTCTTCTCTTCCATTACGGTCCCCAACGCTTGGAGACGTGAAATAGATGTTCCACATAAGGTTATTTTCAACAGTAACTAACTCTCAACACTTCGAGCCCTTATGTGCCTCTGCAGTAACCACAACACAAATAATCATCTCTGGCCAAATCTTTCAGCAGCCATGATCTATGGACACGCACATATTTAAAAAGCACTTAAAAGATGGACACAACATGCTAAGTAGCAAAACAAGAGGAAATGGTTCCCCACTAGTTTTTTGATTGTTTATGCCATTGGTCTTTACAAAGGTTGGGGAATAGCCTCAAAAGTAGTTAGGAATTGGTTTGTAATCCCAATCAGAGTCATGCCACATGACCAGTAGGCACATTTTGGCTGTTAGGTTGGTCGTGTAGTATCCAGTATCAGCAGCAGGGTAAGATTGCACTTGAACATTTTCATCCATCAATTCTATGTTACATTACAGCCCAATGAGAGCTAGCCAACTTTGAGAAAAGGAACTTGATTTTATCAGCTCATAAAAACACACAGACACACATGCACATATGTCAAAATATCCATTTTGAACTGTTCACACTTACACAATTTCTAATTCTCAATTATAGTATAATAAAGACTGCTGATGTTCAGGGAAAATTGAAGATAGATTGTGATTGTCAGTAAGACCCCTGGTTTCATAGTTTGCAATATTAACTGGGTCTCTGTGCACACAGTGATGTTTGGATCATGGTTTGAGCACACCCGTGCCTGGGTGTCTATGAGAGAAAGAGAAAACTTCCTGCTATTGAGTTATGAAGAATTGAAAAAGGTAACCATCTTTCTATAGATGTCACTCAGCTTCTCACCACTGTCACTCCACATAACCCTCTCCCATTCCTCATCATCTCTGTTCCATTGTCTATCTCAATGTTTAGTCTCATTTAGATTCAGTGGAAGAGATTAGTCACTTTGATCTTTATTGCCCTACATCTGACTTATCCATCAGATTCTCCTTGGTTGTCTTTCACATCTTTATTTCAGTGCACAAAACCCTGAGGCAGCACATGAGAGTTTATGCTCACAGCACAGATTGTTTAAACTCTCTGTGTGTAAAATATGATGCTGCTGAAAAAACAAGTGATAAGTAGGGATGAACTAAAAATAGTGAAAGGTTGTCATTCAACAGATGGGCCCAGAGTGTGCCATCAGGTTTTGATGAAGAGATGAGAGATGAGTGCACGAAATTAATCCTTGTAATATTCTGAGAGGCCAAGTACTTGAGAGACAGGATGGGTCTGGGTGATGTTCAAAACTGTCATGGCTGGCACAGTAGTGGAATTTGGTAGTAAGTGTTTTTTCTGATACTCTGTAGCTCAATACTATCAGAATGTTTTACTAGCGTTAGCTTACTATTTCAAAAAAGTTAATAAAGTGATGAATGATGCCAGATTTGACAAACATTCAAGAGCCTAGATAGATCATTGCACACTTATTATTGATATTGTATTTATTCATATTTAATAATATTTTCATTGATTGTTTAAAGTTCAAATTCTGAACTTCTCCTTCAGAAACACTCTATAATATCATCACAGACCCAGTTCCATCTCCCTAGACCCCTCAACATCATGTCCTCTATTCCTTTTAAATCATATAGAGTCTAATTTGGACTTCCCCAATGCTCTTCAGATTGGGGCCATACTCTGGAGCATTGTCAATCTACCTATTTTCACACCCTTAAAGAAAACTAACTCCCTCTTCCAGTCAGAATCAATTGCTGATAGTTCCTCAATTTTGCATGGGACTTCTAGCCCATTTTGCCTTTCCATTCTGTGGTTTTCTTACTTGGGCCTGCACAGGTCTTCTGCATACGTCACAAATTCTGTTGGTTCGTATGTGAAACTTTCCGGATAAATCTGGAAAACATAGATGCCAACTATATTCACCCATGACTCCTGGAACTTACACCTCTTGTGTCCCTCCTTTCCCAATGAATTCCTGAATCTTGGAAGATGGTGGGGAGACAGGTGTGACCCTTAAGACCAAGAACTCTGCAGTTCCTTATGTTCTGCATGCTGACCATTTGTGAATCTGTGATAATCTTCATTTGTTTAGGTAGAAACTTCTCATGTGAGACTTGAGAGAGGCACTAATGTAATTGTATAAGTCATTAGGACTCAGTTTAACACTATATTAATTTAGGAGAATAATAAAATTGAGTTTTCTCAGATAGCCTGTGACTTGTCTAGCCACAAGTTTTTGGCTCTGCTAAGAGTGACACCTATGGCTTACATTTATGAAACGTGCATTAAATGCAATCATAAGGTGATTGGTTACTCCCACAGCATCTGTGCCACGATTGCACAAATGGCACATCTTGCCAAGCCAGAACTCTCAAGGTTCATAGCTGGGTTAGACTGATAATGACTGTTCTCTTTTGGGACCAGGCAAATTACCTTCCAGAACTATGAAAGCTAGGCAGTAGAGGTGAGGCTTCCATGTCAGTACCACGTGGATTTTTCCATGTTTGTTCTCCAACTGAGTAGGTGTTATCTTGAGCAGTAGAGTTTTACTGTTAAATTCTGGAAGGTGACAAAGAGCCACAGCAAAATCCAGTAAAGGGTCTATGCACCACCCTGGGCATGGAATTCAAAGAAGAAAGTGCATTCCTAGCACTGGGCTTTTTATTTGCTTTCCTATGAGGTCTAGAAGGTATACCCATTATAGTGTAATGATTTCCTAACTCGTTTTCTCACTCTTTTTGAAATTTTGCTATTTTAATACGATATAATTTTATGATATTTAGATTCTCTTCACTATCCCCACCTTCTCTTACTGCCCCCTGCCCAAATTAATATATTCTAATATATATGTATATATATTCATATATGTATGTGTTTGTTTCTATGCCTACATAGTCTAATTTCAATTTCTGTCCTCAAATGTCCTTCACTGTGGGTCACAGGTATATATACATACATATACATATATATGTATATATTATATATGCCAATCGCTTTATCACATATACATATAGTAAAACTTCTACATTAGTAGATTTCCATATGAGTTATTCAAAAGACCTTTAATACTCATTCTACTTCCCTGTTGTCCGGTCTCTGCCATGCCCTCCTTCTCCCTTCCCACTTTAACCCTTCCTATTCCATTCTTCCCCTTTAGCACTGTATTCATATCTCTTCTCAGGGAGTCCACCAAGGGCTTGTAAATAGTTTCCTGAATCACTGGACTTTCCAACTGAAACACACCTACCTAAAGACACATGGCTAGCCTTCACTTATGAGAGAGAGCATGCCATGTTAGTCTTTTCCTTGTCTCTATTACCTCGCTCGAGATGACTGCTTCCCGTTCCAACCATTTACATGCAAAAAATCATAATGTTGTTGTTTTTACCTCCAGAATAATAGTCCATGGTTTAAATCCAATTTTAATTATCCATTCATCAGTTGTTTAGTATATAAGCTGCTCCCACTTCCTGATTTTTCTTAAAGGAACAGCAGTGAACCTAGATGGCCAGGTATTTCTGGAGCACAGAGCTTTGGGACTACACCCAAGGGTGGTCGAGCTGAATCATGTGGTAGATCTATTTCCATATTTTAAACAATATTTTGTTTATTATTTTTATTTTATGTGTCTTCGTGTATTGCCTGCGTGTAGGTAAGTGCACCTGTGTCATGCAATGCCCACGGAGGACAGAGGAGGCTGTGAGATCCCCTGGACCTGGAGTTAGGGCAGTTGTTAGCTGCCATGTGGTTGCTGGGATTCAAACCTGGGTCTTCTGCAAGGACGACTTCTGTTCTTAACCACTGAGCCATCTCTCCACCCCCTATTTCCAGATTTTGTAGGAATCTCCGCACTGATTTCCAGAGTGGGTGCAACAGTTTTCACTCCTACTAGTGGTGAATGTGTGTTCCGCCTTCCCCACATCATTTACAGCACGTGTCATCCTTTGCTTCTTCTTCTTAGCCTTTCTGAGTGGGTAAGAAGAACCCTTAAAGTAACTTTAATTTAGATTTTCCAGAAGATAAACATATTGGACAGTTTATAATATTTCTAAGCCATTTGCATTTTATCTTTTTTAAAGAATTAAATTATTATGATTTTTTTCATAAAATACATCTTGATCACATTTAGACCATCTGCCCTATCCACAGCCTCCATATAGACCCCTCAAAGAACCTCATGAATGCTGTTACGTCTGTTAAAGCCTATGTAACTAAGTTTGTCTCCACAAAAGACCCTACATGTGAGCTCATCCACTGGAGCCTAGTCAAACACATTTAGAGTCACCCTTAAAGAAAACCAACTCTCCCTCTATGAATAGTCAAACTCCCCCTCTCCCAGTTGCCAGTAATTCCCTAGCTAGAAGCAAGAAAAGCCTACTGGATCGCCAAGACCTAGCATTACAGCTGGTTGTTGACTGTCATGTAGGGTCTCAGAAATGAACCATTAAGTAACCTTTGCAAGAATTACAAGTGCTCTTAAAATCTGAAACTTTCTCTCTAGCACCAAATACACATTTAAATGGGTTGGAATGCCACACCTAATTTTATGAATATGGGAAATTACTATTTGATAGTCTGAAACACCACCTAGGCCTAGGAGGGCTAGAACACACCTTTCATCCCACCACGCAGCAAGCAGATGCCTGTGGATATCTATGAGATCTAGACCAGCCGGGCTATATAGTGAGTTCCAGGACAGCTGGTAACTACAAGGAGAACCTGTCACACAAATGAGTTTAAAATACCTGTTAAATAAAAATACTAAATTACAGCTGAAAATGATGACACAAGCTTGTATTACTATCACAAGAATGACGTCAACAGGAGGACCAAGAGATCAAGCTCATCTTTCACGTTAGGCATGTTAAAGTCATCCTGGCCTTCATATATCTGTTTCCAAAGAACGGAACAGAAAAATAATAAAACTAATGTCTGCACAAATATTTAAGGAATATAAGGAAAAACAAAACATGAAGTGATGGGATCCTTCATAAAGCCTCGAAGTCTTTCTTACCTGTGTTTTCTAATGAATAATAAAAGTGCTTAAAAAGGATTTTTTTCTTCCATCTAAGAAATGTAACATCCTATCACATTTTTGCCCATTTTTATACAATCTAGTGTGTTCTCAGGAAATCCGATTTCTCTTGAGAAGCCTTGTTACCCAGCTGTCTCAGAGACATGCACTGCACTGTCCTTTCCATCCATTCACTGCTCTCTGTTCATTATTTCCATGATTGTGTATCTAAATCTAATGGAATAAAATAATGCTATAATCAGTTAAAGAAGTAGGGCCTCATGAGTAATTTCTAGGAAATTTTTCTTGTTTTAAATACCAGATTCTGATAATAAACTCTCAAAATTATGCCTGATATGTTGGGACCTGTGTATAATCAGATCCTTCCAAGGGTGACACAGAAGAATTGTGAGCTTATGACCCATCAGGTCTATGTAAGGCAACCTCAACTCACAGACAATATGAAAAGAATTCCCCCATAATTATACACCAAGTAATAGTAAGATCATATAAAAATGTTACCTCACTAAACCAATATATCTTATTCAAATGTTATGCAATGGAAAAAGAATTATTTTCTATGAATTTTGATGCCTTTCCAATTATTGCTGCCATGTCTGTGACTAACCTTGAACATGGTCTAAAATAACATTCTTTTCTTAAACATTTCATTTTTAATTGAGTGTCTGTGGGTGTGTGCAGATGACTGCTATTGCTCAGAGGTTGGAAACATTGGATTCCCAGGAGCCCCAGTCACAGTGGGTAATAAGTGCACATGAAATGGGTGCTGGGAATTGAACTCAGGTCCTCTGGAAGAAAATCACAAGCTCTTAAACTATGAACCTTCTCAGCATCCCCTCCTAGATAAAACTCTCTTTCAGTATCCAAAGTGATGCAATCGGGATGCCCAAAGCTCAACCACACTGACATGGTGACATCACTCAGTGTCACCTACCTGAGTGATGGAATTATGGACAACCCCTCCACATCAAGCATCTATGAGTAATTACTTTTCTCGTTCTTTGCCTCTCTGTGTCCTCCTCTTTCTTAGATACAGTTCAGTCCATTATCCCTCACTGTCATTCTTTCGTCACATCCGCCTTTTTCACATTCTCCTCCACATTTGGTGTCATCATCTTTCCCTTTCCTATACTCATGTGTGTTTGTTCCTTAGGACACACGAGGAACCATAGAGAAGATCTGCCAGTTCCTAGGAAAGAACTTAGAACCAGAAGAGCTGGATTCAGTCCTCAAGCACAGCTCCTTTGAAGTCATGAAAGAAAGCATGCCCGATTATGAACGCTTCCCTGAAGAGCATGTTTCAAAGAAGGTGCAGTTTCTGAGAAAAGGTAAAAAGAAATGTTCTAATCTCAGAAGGTATCAGGATAAGTGGAGGCTTTTCCTGTGTGAATAAGATTCTAGAATTAAGATGTTTGAATGTATCAGCCTTAACTGTTCATCCCTTGAAGTGCTTTTCATTGGCCATTTTAGAGGAATCTTTTCATGGTACAAATTTGGGATTCAGGTACCTCCAGATAGTTGGTTTGTCCTGGGAGATTGCAGAGCATTGGAAATAACCATAGCTTGGTTGCCCACCTCTTTTCCTTAGAAAAGAGGAAAACTTGAGAAACAGTTCATAAAGACATAAATAACCAAAATGAAAACAGAGAGAGGAGAGACTGAATCATTGTAAGTTGGTAAAAATCAACTGTGTTATTTCATTATGTCTGCACTCTAATGGAAATGGCTAAGGCAAGAGCTGAAGATGTACATGGGATGATATGGCACAGACATCACTCACATGTTAGATGGTACAACAGACATTGGCCAGGTCTACACTGCTGGTATCCAGTGGGTCAAGTATACAGCGCATGGGGACTATCAGGTGATTCTCCAGCCTTAAAACATATGGAATCTGCCAGGCTACATTTTTTTTTTTGCAGTGAGTTACATTTTAAATAATTTTATTGAGGTTTTGTACATTTCATACAACTGCTCTTTATCAAATTAAGATTCCCCCTCCCCTATTCATGCCTGCACACCACACCCAGGCACCCAACTACATTTTGATTGTTTTGAATGCTTGACCATTGTCTTCTTTCTCATATGTCTCTCTCGCACAGGAATGTCTACACTTACCCACTTGCATTTAGCTCACCATGTATTTGACATAAACTGGGCTTGTAGAATTGAACCTTATTCAGTATTATTGGTTGGCTTACAAGAGCAAATTTAGATACAAACACCCTTTTATTATGCAGGTAACGTGAATGTTTTCACAGAGTTGCCATTGTGGAGAAAGTTTCCATGATAGATAATGCCTAGAGTCACACCAGATTAGGGAATAACTGGTTCTATGGGTCCTGGATTTGAAGAAGGACTGGGGTCATGCATTAGGGTAAAGTGTATGAGAACATAACATGTATGAAGATGTGAGCAGGAAGTTGAGAGTTATGGGCTCATATTAGTCTCCCTTTAAATACATGTTTCAGGTACAATCTCCAGTCTCTCAAAACATACAAATATCAGCTTCTGAGTATTTAATGATACAATGTATGTAAGCAAGAGTAATTTAGCTCACATTAGGTTAGTAAGACTGCACTCAAGCCAGCATTACTGGTGCCCTTAAAAGAAGAAATTTAGACACAAACTTGCTCATGCAGAGACTTGACAACAGGAAGATGGGCATCTTTATCCCCAGCACAGAGGCTTCCAGGAGAGTCAATACCTGCTGACAGCTAAACTCTGACTTCTACGCTCCAGACTGTGAGAAGACAGATGTGTCTGAACTGGAATTTAAGGTTTCACTTATAAAAAGTTATCCATTCCTGGACTTGCTGTTATGAAATGGATTTTGGAAGACTTATGTTTTTATATTGCATAATAAGATGCTATGAAATGCCTGAAACACCAAAAAGAAGACCGTTTAATGCAGATGATCATGAAAACTGACAACTAAACTTCCAACACAATAGAATTTGGGACAGAATTACATGAATTCAACTTAGTTCTCCATTCATATAACTATTTCATCAGAAAACCATGATAACATTATGTAGCCAGTTAGCTCCGAAACCCTTTTAAAACAGGTCACTGGATCCAGGATCTAACTCTATCATCCCCGTGATTCAATACTTCAGTGTGTCAGTGTTCTGTAGAGGTTAAACTTTTAAAAATAATGAAAAAACTGAAAAGGGAACAATGCTCTACATCCCATGTCAGCGCTCTGCCTTTCCTTTCATCTTGAAGTATAAAACAGATCGCACGTAAAGTTTTAAAATATTTTATATCAATTATCATCAGATTACTGATGTAAATCCTAAAGTACTGAACAGCTATATTGTGGGTTGGCTGGCATCAGCCTTGGGAATTCTATAGATGAATTTTCATGATCTTTTGGTCACTTTTTTGCCTCAGGACAAAAAATAACATGTTTTATGGCCTCTAATGAGCTACTTACCAATTGCATTTGGAAAGCACCTTGCTTGGGAAACTGTCCAGATACTGCGATGAATCTGCTCTAAAGATAAGAGCAATTGATTTGCCTTAGCCAATCTTAGTTTTAGGATGCCTGAATATTTTCATTTCGGGGAAAACTTCCTAGCATATAATATGTAAAATAAAATATCAGTTCATTAATTTGGTCTGTATGATGATCATCAACATGAGATGGTTAGACTTCAATTGCTCAGATGCATCAAAATGTTCTGGTTACTAGAATTAATCACATGAAGGTAATGAAGCCAGTCTCAAAAGACCAGCGTTTTCTATGTTCCCTCATACATGGTTCCAAGTCATTAAATAAATACATAAATCATGCTTGTATGTGTGATGGGAACATCAAAGTGAAAGTAGGTGTTGGGAGTGGACGGAGTAAGGGAAAGTGGTTTATGAGTGGAATATACTGAAGATACAGGTAGGCATGCATGCACACTTTAAAAAACATATTTTGTTTATTTTTATTTAATATGTATGAGTATATTGCCTCTGTGTGTGTTAGTGCGCCTGTGTTGTGCAATGCACACAGAAGTTAGAAAGGGGCATTGGATCCCCTGGAACTGGAGTTACAGATGGTAGTTAACCAACATGTGGGTGCTGGGAACTGAACTTGAGTCCTCTGCAAGTGCTTGCCTGCCTCTCCAGGATATTTTTTTGCCCAGTTTATAATGTAATGTTAATACATTTCTCATCTGTTCATTAATTCTTTCAGTCATTACATTGCAAGTGTGCACTGAATGTCTGACACTTTAAAACAATTTAAGAACATATTTTTTACTTTCTAGTATGTTATAATTATGCATTACACATATACACAAAAGGAAATACGTGGAACACATTGATGAGATATTGACATGAAAAGTCAGATCTTTGATGGATGGGAGATGTACAGCTCTGAATGAGGTGATACAGGAGATTATCATTGAATCATTTGCATTAAAGAGCTAGAACTTGGCTTGGTGACAGAGTGAGTCCCTAACAAGGGTGAGGCCAGAACCCTGCAGCAAACAGTCCTCTATGAAATAAGCACTAAAAGAGACAAAAAGGATATGAGACTATACTGCAAATACCAGCACACGAGGCAAAGGAACATGAAATGCAACCTGTGAGGAATGAGCAAAACAGATCTGAAGACCTATAGTAATGGAGAAGGAAGGGCCAAGGGTAATCAAAGGGGAAGGCGATAGAGGCACAACCGTGGGATCACCTAGAGCCAGAAACAGAGCCAGAGCGCTTATTCTAAATGAAAACAGAAGTTCAAGGAAGTTCTCAACAGGAAGAAGCTGAATCTCCAGCACCTGGTGGAAGAATCAAGATGGTGGACAAGCTACAATGAACTGCTACATGCAAACATACAAAAACAGAGAGACCAATTACAATATGTTTTGATAACTGATAGGAAATGTGCTGTTAATATGGACACTGTGGTGCAAATAGAGTAAGAACTATCTAGACTCCGGAGGTGTCAGAAGACAGAGCCAGTGCTGCTGCTCTTGGATTGCATAGTTGATACACTGGGAGAGACAGGAAGGTAGGGAATCATTTCCTCATAGACAGAAGTGGATATAGATAAGATTTTAAGACAGAAGAGGGGTTATAAAGGAGCTATGGAGCAGTAGTTGATACACTGGGAGAGACAGGAAGGTAGGGAATCGTTTCCTCATAGACAGAAGTGGCTATAGATAAGATTTTAAGACAGAAGAGGGGTTATAAAGGAGCTATGGAGCACTGTGTTACATCATTTTAGCTCCGTGGTCTTTGTCAAGCAGATGTAGAGAGCCAATATGGCGGCACATGCCCTTAATGCAAACACTGCAGAGCCAGAGTCAGGTGGACCTCTGTGAGTTCCATGCCAGGCTGTTCTATAAAGTGAGTGCTAGATGAACCTTGGGTCAAAAAATGTGATAAGGTATCAGAATCTTCCAGGCCTCTGGGAACTTGCTCATATGAACTTACAGCAATGGTAACAGCATGCACAAGACCAAGGTAAACTCAGAAAAAAAAAAAAAACAGCATAGAACCGGAGAAATGGGCAGTAGGCCTCAGTCTTAGCCAAGGAACTATTGGCAACTGATTACTGCTGGGTGAGGAAAAACTGTTCTTTAAGGGACTGACTCTACATAGGCTGACTAGACTCCAGTGGATGAATTTGCACCAAGGTAACCTGGGTACAAAAGCTTGACTCATTAGGCCTTAACATATAAGGTGGTATGCATGAAATCCAGTGGGGGACTAAGGAAGGGGTGCTGATGAGGAAGGGGGTATGAAGATGATTAAGGTGTTTTGAATGAAATGCACAAGAATTCAATGAAAACTATACAAATGTGATAAAGGGAATCTAAGAGGTATTGAGACTGATTACTAAGTTAATCGTTTCATGTTTTTCAGGCATTTGTGGAGACTGGAAGAATCATTTCACAACAGCTCAAGCTGAAGCCTTTGATAAAATATTCCAGGAGAAAATGAAAGGTTTCCCTCCAGGGCTGTTCCCATGGGAATAAGTTCCCCAAAGTGGCTACATCTTCTGTGGATGGTGATATTTGTTTTCCTATTGTGATTCAAGGGGTCATTGAATAAAACTGATTTCTTGAGCTTGGAGATATCAGTAAAGAAATAACTACTTTTTAAGCACTTATTATAAATTTTCACAATACCTCTTTGAAGTCATGAGACCCAGATTTTATTTTTATAGTATTTTGTTCATTTATTTTTCTTATATGTGTGTGTGTGTGTGTGTGTGTGTGTGTGTGTGTGTGTGTTGACTGCGTTGAAGTGCACTCATGTTGTGCAATGCCCACAGAGATGAGACGGGGCATCAGATCCCCTGGAACTGGAATTTTGTACAGTTGTTACCTCCCATGTGGGTGCTGGGAATTGAACTCAGGTCCTCTGCAAGAGCAACCAGTGTTCTTTACCTCTAGACATCTCTCCAACCTGAGACCCAGATTTTAAAAAGCTCTTTGTACCATTGTAACTGACATGCTAAAATTTTGTCAAATTTTAAAAAGAAAAGTCTATAAGTAGCTAAGGCTCCTTTCCATCTCATGACAGTTATTTACAAAGTGTACTATTAATCTCTCCTGATGAGTAGAATTCCAACTGAAATACTTTGATTTTTCTTACAGTGTGCTGTTTGAAAACAAAAAAATTGAATTTAAAGAGGAGTTTTTGTTTTATTATTTATTGTGTATACATTATCAATTACAGGACAAAGTGTGGGTGTTGAGGTCAGAGGACAACATAAGAAAATCAATTCTAGGGGCTGGAGAGATGACTCAGTGGTTAAGACTGCTGGGTGCTCTTGCAGAGGACAAGGGTTCCATTCCTAGCACCCACATGACAGCTAACAACTGTTCATAACTCCAGTTCCATGGGATTCAACACCCTCTTCTGACTTCCATGGGTGTTGAGCAACAAAGGTGCACTACACACATGCAGGCCATACACTCATACACAAAAAATAAAAATAATGAAATAATAAAAAAAGAGTCAATACTTCCCTATCATATGGATCTCTGGTAAGGAATTCAGGTCAACACCTTGACAGCAGACCTATTTAACTGCTCATCCATCGCTCCAGTCTCAGAGAGGCCATGATAGCTTATACAAATCACCTATACTACAATAAATTTATAAGATTACTTTTCAGCTCAATGCTTTATATGTTTGCATTTCCTATTTTTTTAATTTGTTGAACTTTTGAGAGTTTCATACAATATATTTGATCATGGTTAGGACCCCTGCCATATCTGAACCACTCATACAACCTACCTGGTGTTTGTGCACTCTGTCATATATAGTAAGGCCTATGAAGTCAAGTTTATGTCCCCATCTAGAGATCATAGCTAAGGCATACTCTCCTTCATCCAATATCAGTCAGTCTCCAATAGGTCTCAGTCTAGGGCTGGCCTACCTCCCATGTCTCTCTCCCCTTTGGGCCCTTGTTTAATTCAGTTGACATGGGTCCTGTGCTCCATGCCACCATTGCCACAAGTTCACATGTGCAAGTTTCCAGTGGCCTGGAAACCTCCACTTCTTGTGTTCATGAACTAGCCCTGAATCTTATAATCTTTCCATCCATACATCTGCAATGGTCCTTGAGCCATGGTTGGGTGAGGTTCCCTATAGGAATCCAAGGATATGCACTCTGAAGTCTCTTATTCTTTAAAACTTGGCCAGTTGTGGCCTTCTGTGTGCATCCTTCCCTGTTGTATAAAGAAGCTTTACTGGTGATAGTTGAGGGATGTATTAGTTTTCTGTCTATCCTTGTTTTGCTATGTTCCATGAGCCTTAGTTGTAGAGGTTCAACTATAGATGTGTCACCTGGTACTCAGCATCTCTCAGACGTATGTTCTCTGTGTCTCTGTGTCTCTGTCTGCAGTAGCCTCCATCTGATTCAAAAAGAAGCTTCTTTGATGACTGGTGTATGATATGCTTGTCTGCAAATATAAGGATTCATATTTAGCATATAGTAAGAAATTTCATTTCTCTAGAGATATGAAAGATTGGATTTTCTCTCGGATCTATGTCCTCTCCTGCCATTTGTATTTGGCTGAGTTTACAGTGCCACCCATGAGTTCACTACCATTGAGAGGGCTTCAAGTTCAATTAGATAGTTGTTGATTGTCCCCCAGATTACAGTGCTGCTACTGCACCAATAGAGGTACTTTGTCACACCAGTCATTATGGTTGTTGGGCTTTAGGGTTGGGTTGGACCGTTTATTGTTTTTCTCCCTTGGTAGCTTGCATATCATCATCTAGTATTATGATAGCCAAACTTCAGTTAGGAAGCTTCCATGTCAGTTCCTGCTCCATTGCTTCAAGTTCCGTATCCCATGTACCTCCTGTCTTCAGCAGTAGTATCTTACCTACTAGTTCCAGGAAATAACCAAGAGGTTTGGCAATATCCTGTGTTATTTTGGGAGTCTCCTAGACCACTTTCACCAACCACTCAAAGGGAGGTCTCTTCTTTCTGGCACTAGGTTCCTTGCCAAGCAGCTCCCAGGTATACATACGCACTAATGTTCAGAAACTCTATATGCATTTCTCATGGGGTTTCAAGGACATCGCTTTTCCCCCTAGGTTTCCAAACCCCCCAAGATTTATTCACCTCTACTCTCTTTTCTCCCATCCGGCTTCTCTCCTCCCTCCCTAGTCACAGTGCCTCCAATATCCCTACTCCCCCCCCAATACCACCCACCTCCCATCATCCTCCCTCTCCTGCCTTTGCTCCCTCTCACACACCACACCTTCTTGAATGCCCCTCCCTCCTCTCCTCCTTGCCACATACTCCGACTTTCTCTACCTCCCCCTAGTAACATCTGTTCCCTACCATTCCCCTTTCAGATTCTTTCTTTTCCTTTACCTCCGTGTATCCTTTCCCTGTTCACGGCTCCGGGTGTCACATCAGAATTTATATACAAACATTTAAGGGATTGGGGCTACAATCCACAAATGAGGGAGAACATATGATGCTTCCTTTTCTGCATTTGTGTTACTTCACTGAGTATAACACTCTCTAGTTCCATCTATTTTCCTGAAAATTTCATAATTTCACCTTTCCTTACTGCTGAGCAGAACTCCATTGTGTAGATGTCCCACATTTTCATTATCCATTTGTCAGGTGAGGGGCATTTAGGTTGTTACCATTTTTTAGCTATTGTGAGGAGAGAAGCAACAAACACAGACATACAGGTGTCTCTACAGTAGGATGAGTCCTTTGGGTATATGCCAAGGAGTGGCATAACTGGGTCAATTTCCTTGTTATGGGCCTGCTTGGGCTGTTGTTCGCCTCTTGGTTTGGCTTTGGTGGTGACCATGATTTTAGAAATTCATCCATTTCTTTTAGATTTTAGAATTTAATGGAGTATAGATTTTTTAATATTTAATTTATTTTTTTATTTTATGTGTATGTGTGTATTGCCTTTATGTAGGTAAGTACACCCATGTCATGCAATGCCCACAGAGGACAAAAGAGGCTGTCAGATCCCCTGGAACTGGAGTTATAGACAGTTGTTAGCTGTCATGTGGGTGCTGGGATCTGAACCTAGTCTTCTACAAGAACAACCAGTGTTCTTAATCACTGAACCATCTTTCCAGCCAGGAGTATAGATTTTTAAAGTATTTCCTTACAATTGTTTGGATTTGGATTGTTTTGTTTTGTTTTTGATGTCTGTTGTGATGTTTCCCCCTTTGTCTCTGATTTTGTGAATTTGGATTTGCTCTTTCTTTCTTTTGGTTAACTGGGCTAAGGGTCTGTCTATCTTGTTTAACCTTTCAAAGAACCAGCTCTTAGATTCATTGATTTTTTTCTATTGTTTCCTTTGTTTCTGTTTCATTAATTTCTGCTTTGAGTTTTGTTATAGAAACTGCCAAGGGAGAAAACCAATCAATAATTTCATCCAGCTGTAAAGTTTATGAAACACAGCAATGACCAGCCCATTAAATAATCTCTACTGGTGCAGTAGTGACACTTTCATCATGGATGTAATCAACAGCTGTCTAACTGGAATTAAGGTCCCCTCAGTTTGAGGGAACTCCTGTGTGATACTATAAATACAACCAAATACGGATGGATGGAGTGGCCATAAATCTTAGAGAAAAACCCATTTCTGTCATACTCCTAGAATAACATAATTTCTTAATGTACTATAAATACATATTCTTACATTTACAACCAAATATATCTCTCATTAGTCATTCAAGAAGAAACTTTTGGGAAGAGAGTGAGACTATTAGTAAATTCCACAACTGGTCAAATGCAAAGAATAAATGTGAGCTACCCAGCCAAGTGAGATACATGTACAATGCAACCTCTACACCAAAAGCTGCTGCAAAGTGGTGGAAAGGGGGTAAGGAAGAATATTAATGCACTTCTCAACTCTCACCAGTGACGCTTCCTCATGAAAGAGATGGTGATTGGTCCTCTGTCAGCCTCCATCACAGGCAGGTTCCTTCACCTAAGATCTCTGGAAAAGCTTCCTAATCCAGACTAGCTAAACACCCTACCATAGATCCCTAAGTCCCTCCCCAAGTGTTCTCCCCACCTCCTAATTCCCAGCTTCTAGATTAGGGAAACAGACCTGCTCAGTCAGGACTCTGGTAAGTCAAATCCTGCCCACTGCCTCTCTACTCCATTCTTCTCACCCTGCCAGCCTCCATCACAGGCAGGCTCCAATTCCTTTACCTTACATCCCTGGACTAGCTTCCTAATTCAGACTAGATAAACACCCTACCATAAATCCCTAAGCCCATCCTGAGGAGGTGCCCCGGCTGCCAACTTCCCAGCCTCTAAATCAGGTAGATAGACCTGCTCATCCTGGTCTCTGACCAGTCTACTACCCTGCAAGAACTTGAAACACTCACCAATTTACTTTCCATACCTGAACAAAAAGTCACTAAGCTACATAAATGATATTAACGAACCAAAATTATATTAAACAAAAGCAGAGCAGAAGTTCCTGTCGGACACATAACCAACGAAGACCATCCAAATGCCCAAATAGCAAT